CCTCTTCTGCCTTGAACCCTAACCCAAAGCACCTCAGAGTTTAGGGATATAACCTTTACTTGGAGTATATATTTACAACTAAAATGATGAAATGGTTCAAACTGAGAGGTCTGACCCAACCCACATTGACCTCTATGACTTCTGCAATGACTGTTCCACCTTTTGAGTGCCCCCTACCTGCTGGGAATGATGCTTAGGGTACTAGCTGGCATGTTTAGTCCAAAATTGAGTTTGGGCCCCTGGCTGGCAATGTCAGAATGGAAGAAGCCTATGTAGGGTACAGAAGTACAAGGAACTACTCCTTTTCTCATCTCTCAGATGCAGAGATGAAATGAGTTTGAAGGTCATCCATGCTGCCAGGGGTGACTGGTACCTCCTGAGTCTGGTGGGGCACAATTTGTGGGTGGGTCTGGGGGCAGGCCCAAAGCCCCATTTCCACTCCTATACTTCTGTGGCGCGGCTTAGCGACACCCCCCCCAACACACTGCCGGCTTGCGTGGCAAAAAACCTTCCCCATCATAAGCAGTGCTGAGTCGGGGGCCAATCTCAGGGGGGCTACGTGCCCACTCCCCATGCTCCAGCTACCAGTCACCTGTGCATTCTGCTTTGTAAAATATAATCAGGGAGAGAACAAGGCTCCTCCAGCCTGAAGAGTGGACTTCTAAAGGTCATAGTGAAAGAGTGAAACCTCTTAACTGCTTGGTATGTAAGGCACAGCACTCATTTTTACACTGTAAACAGCTTCAAAACATCTGGATGTTGTGTCCCTTTCTGTAATGGGCCAGCTTCCCTTCCAAGTCGGTCAGCCTTTTCAAGGCCTGTATCCACTTGCCAGGAGCTTGTATAGTTCAGAAGTTTACAGGTACTTTCTTGAGTGTTTCTTGCAAGTGCACTGAACTGGGACTGAAGAATGGAGATGAAGTTTCATCATGTAATACACTCTAAGAAAGGAGCAGAACTTCATTAAACATTTATTATGCATCAATTGAGCACGGGCTGTGTTATACAGGGATCCATATTCTGCTAACAGTTCTAGGCACGGACACTACTGAAATGGCCTCTGATCTAATTCCTATGGCTATAATTTATTGCTGGGTTCCAATGTCAGCTGTGCGTTCAGAGGTAAATAGAGACGGTAAATTGGAGAGTACAGCTGAAAAGAATATTCTATTGTAATGTGTTTTGAACATACTAACTGCTGGAATGGTGCTATCTGGCACAGCTATGCTTTTCTTGAGAAGACATCTGAGGTATGTGGAGTTTGAAGGATATGGTTTGCTGTTTTGCACCTTAAATTTCAACATATGGATGCATATTTTGTAACTGCATTCATCGTGGGTCAGGATCTAGCCTGCAGGTTTACAGACCTAGTGGACTTCAGTGGTAGTCTGACAAAGGGGGGCTTTGGCAGCACCAGATTATGCCCTTGTCATGCCAAAATTGGGTGGCAGGAGGCTGCCCCAGTATGGGCCTTGGCTGGATTGCAACGAGAAGCAGCACTAGCAGCCAGGTCCTTGTGTGGGGTCATTCCGCCACTGCAAAAAGTTGCTAGCTGCTGGCATATGTGTTTACTGTCCAAGGAACCTTTATGCTGAGTAAAATTATTTAACTGATTATTTAAAGCAACATACAAGTAATAGTTATTGATATTAGTCACCAAGTGGTCATCTTTTAGAAGTCGGAGAACAATTTTGGGTTCATCTTTGTTAGTCTGCTGCCTTCCCATACTGTGGGTAGGATAAATTCATTCCGTCACCTGTCAGTTACTTCCTTTCTGTCACTTCGG